ATATATATATATACTCTATATATATATATATATATATATATATATATATATATACATAACTACTATATAAATAATATTTTATTGGATTTTTTCAATGTTATAAATATTTTTAAAACTATGAAACGCACAATAGAAAAAATTATTTACGTGTTACTTAAAGCCAGTTATTTAAGTATATTATTTATGTATATGTTATTTAAGTATATTATTTTAATTTTAATCTTTTTTCAAGTTCTTTTGACTGGAATAAATTCCACTTTAAAATAGTGGTAAATTCAGATATTATGCATAGTTGTGTAACCTATAGTGAAATAGAAGAAAAATAGTATACAGGACTTATATAATATTTTTTGGCAAAACGCGTTTGCATAGATGCTTCATGTTCGTATTTTGGTAATTACAAACGAAATTATACAGATTACAAGATACTTTATAACATAAAAACATAGTGGAAGATTGCCGATATCATAGTTCTTTAGTCAATCACGACAATTAGTTGTCTGAAAAATAATAAAACTGATATTCTGAGAAGTTACCGAACCTGCTTCGGACTCCCTTCCATCCATTATTATTACGATAGCTGAGCAGAAGACATATAAAAACCAGATGATTACAGCTCCGATTGACAAAAGGTATATTTCGGCGTAGTTGAACATAGATCCAAGTTGTTGCAACGTCTCGTCGATTTGAGCAAGTTTTCGGTAGCACTCGTTCACTGTCTGAGAATGTCAATTTGCACGGTACGTAATCTGAATGAGAGTATGGAGTCTCTTTCTCAGATACACAATTTATCAATACACCGTTCATGCGTCAACTTTTATATAAACATGAAAAAGAAATTTTTTAAGATTCGATTCGATATGTTTGCTCGTACTTACTTTGGTGTAAAAATAACCAAGAATCATCTTGCACGCAGTGACGAAAATATTTAAAAAAGTGAAGATTTGGTACAAGACCTGCTCAAGATTCGGCAGATTAAACTGAAAGTAGTAGTTGTATTTTATGTATGCGGACGTGCAGAAGACGCTGAGCAGGAGCAGAAGGTAGATCAAGCTGAGCACGGTGCGTAGTTTTCCGCGAGGATACTCCATAATGCGAAGTCCCACTAGATAGTTTACGGTCACAAGTGGCGCTATCACGTTGGATAGGTGTTTTGGAGCTGTGAATAATTTCATTTCGCCGAATTTTCTTTTCTTCTTCGCATGGAAATTTATTCAGAGTTTCAATCTCTTACTGGTGCAACATTGAAATATTCGAAGTGAGAAATCAGTATGCATAATCGACCGATTAACAGCAACCTGAAGTTTAAGACAACTCATTAATCTCTCTTCCTCACTTTCTCTCTCTCTCCCCCTCTCTCTCTCTCTCCCTCTATCTCTCTCTCTCTTTCAACGACGATTGTACAAAAAAAATTTTTAATTCCTCTTTTTCTCGGGGACGAAATTCCTTGTAAATTTTGGTATCGATTTTCAGAGTTTAAAGAATGAAAAAGGGGGATAAAGAGTTTCGGAAAAGTCCAGATAAAATCATTAATCTGGTAAGACATTCGTATACGACAGTCCACGTATTCGTTTCTTTTAGTATTCAAACAGTCCACGTATTCGTTTCTTTTAATATTCAAACTAAATTAACACATTCGTTTCTTTTAATATTCGCGACAGTCCACGTATTCGTTTCTTTTAATATTCAAACTAAATTAACACATACATACGATTGGTAGTATTGTGTGAAACACTGACTTTTAAAATGCACAGTAATCGACGATAATGTTGAGTCGGTCAGTGATTCGGAGCTCACTCTTTTCACTGTTTTCACCCTTAGTTTGTCTTGTCACAGCCTGTTCACGGTTTATGCTTCCGTGCACTACCAAGCAGGTACTCATAAATGATTATTACACGGAGCGAACGCGTGTTGCATACGAGCCGTGGTTATTTAAGGTTTATATAGTCGAGAGGGTCTGCGTGAGAAATGCTTGCGGATGAAAAAGTAATTCGTTCTACACATGCGCACGTTGTTCATGTAGTGGACTTAATGCGAGTATCGTCACTCACATAAAGGTGGAAATCCCTTTTCCGATAAGTTTTACAACGCATCTTGTATTCAGTAGAAAAATGCCCTGAGAATGATTAAAGAACTTTCTTATTGGATACAGATTCTTTATAAAACTTATTTTAAAAAATGTTTCAACGTTTCCACGACTGACCATACAAGGCATAGTTGCGCAGGAAGCTACCGGCCGGCTCAAAGATGGCCGAGTGATAATTAATTAATTATTAATTATAATTATGTAGATGGATTCAGGTTATCGCATATGTAATATTTTATTGCGCCGGATAATAAAGACGGAATTGCTGGAGAGGGACGCAAATTATATCCTACTATCTACAATCGCATTTCAAATCGTTATTCTATCAAGTGCGAACGTCACGTCGAGATAACCGAGAACGCCTCGCGGATCGATGCTGACGTTATTTAACTGAGTAAATCCTTAATGACTGGGGAATTATCACGGACAAATATATATAGAGGATATATTATTTACATATAAAGCAGTGACACAACCTATATGTTATTAAAATGCGCCATATACTGCTGCACGTCTTTTTCGTAATATCGTGAATACAATACCTATAATCAATTATATTCTTATTATTATTCGAGTCGGAAGAGTGTAATATGTTCACATCCGATAGTTTCCGTTGTATTTAGTATGAACAATCAAAGGACTGAATGCAAACCACAAACGCAACAATTAAACTTAACATTTAAGATTTACATAACATAACTTAACATTTATCTTAAAGACGTTAAAGTTGCATCAATTTGTTTAAAAAGGTGGATTGGATACATCGTTATGTGAAAATTTTTCTTTGTTCTTCTTTATAACTCTATTTTATTTTGTATGGTTTCTATTTCTACAAGATATTTCAGGATACACACATCTAGAACATATATACATTGACAATTATTTTATATACGATAAATCCCATAAAATATTTATTAATTTTTTATTAATATCCACAATTTCTTAACGGTTTCTTCTCCCTTTTCTAATTTTAACTCGACCCCAGGTAGTTGCTCATTTCTATCATGATAACTATGTAAATAGTCATACTTTTCAAACACTGCGGACAGTAAAGCGTAAAATCACAAATCATCATAAATCACCACTTGCATTTTTGCTTAGACTGTAATATATAATATTCGCATTTTAAGTGCGAATCTACAAACCGAGCTTAGAAGCTGATAATTTAAGAAGATGCCAAACGTGAAGAACTCTATGGGGTTCTGCGCTACCTGAAGATCAAACTGCCGAATCTGAAAGAATTTGCCAATTAGAACGATGACTTTATGAATTGCGATTAACGGTGGTGATTTCTATCGTGAACAAACCTCGTCTCGCACATCGATATCAGGGCAGCATTCATAAATCTTGTGAATGATCGCGCTGGTTTTCTTTCCCTGTGTGAATGATGAATATCGTTAATTAAAACAATTATCTAGAAAGTTTGCAATTAGGAAGTATCGCGCGGAACGACTCACTTCGTTGATCGCATGCTTGCAAGCGAGTTTTATGAGAATGATCTCCAGCAGGTAAGCGCTTCCTAATATGGCCTCAGCAAACATTAAAAATATCAGTCTGCCGTTTATAACTACTTGCCACTGCTTCAACTGGAGGTACAAATAATATAAAAATAGAGTTGTGAAAATGATGCAGATATCGATTTCCGATGCGATCTGCTTGCCAAAGCTGGTGCACAGCATTTTGAATACCTTGCATAGTTCCAAGTACACCTGCCTGAGAAACGTTTAAATAATAAAAAAAGATATATAAATCATAAAACATATTTTTAAATATTAAACCGGTAAAACTGTCCAAAACAAAAATTGTCAAATTTTAAATATTGTGTATTTATAAAAATTGCGTTTTTTTCATAGAGTGCTCCCTTTATTTGTCCTTCATCTATTTTTCATACACGTTTGTTTTTCCATTTTTACTTTAATATTTTGTCACATAATTCATATTCACCTGATCGTTTGCAACAAGTGTATGTTTCTCCGACATTTTGCGGTCATAACTGATATTCGGACGGAATGCGAATCTCTGAATTGGTTTCTGGTTTGGTCCTGAAGTTCTATTTGAAACTGATTTTGAAGTTGGGACGGCAGGCGAGACCGATTTCGCGATCTAACGAGATTACGTTTCCGAATATAATTAATATGTTTCCCTGATGTAGAAATTCGTGTTCGGGACTCCAGCTGACAATCCAACTGAAATGACTCTTTTATAGAAATAATGTTCTGGCCTTGTTCGCTGTCCATTATGTTATTATAATCCTCCGTAGCAGGGATATCCAGTTTTTTTCCTTCCGTTGTCGACACTGCCACGCTTTCTCTAAGGAGATCATTAGCTAATTTGAATCTCGTTTGCAGATATCTGCAATTATAATATCAAATTTATTAATATTTATATTCTTAATTCACACATTACATATTATTTATTTATTATTTATTACATATATATTATATGTTTATGTTTCTTATATTATTATTTCACTTCTTTTTATTTTTTAATGGTATCATCTAACATTCAGTCCTTACTTCTCCTTTCTTTGCGTAGTGAACTAAAATTTACTGATTAACAATATGAGACATTATATAGATAATTAAAAAAGCAACTTCATATTTATTAATTTAGTTTTTTGATGCAATGGAGATATTAATTTTTGTGTTATTCTACATTCTTAAATTGATTAACTAACCAGTTAATCGATTTTAGAATATGGGATAGAAATGGAATACAGAAAAATGGAACAGGGAAAAAATAATAATCGAGAAAATAGAACATTCAATTGATTTCTTCGGCACATTCACCTCATAAATATCGAAAATTCCAAGGCGATGACGAGACTGGTGCCCGCTCCAAATGTCTCCGATATAAGTAGCCAAATCGTAATTGCCAAATCTGTGCGTATAGGAGGCCGGGGCAGTTTAGTATAAGGGGCAGGTTAGTAAAGCATTTATATATTCATTGTGAAAGAAATGATGCCGAAGCAATTGCAAAATGTTGCTTTCAGAAGATAAATATTTGTCTTTGATTTTCGTTAAAATCAGAAAAGTTTTAAGGATAAAAGTATGAGAAATAATTTGTGTGCATTCAAATAAATTTTCGAAAACCTAGAAATTTTCTTTTAATATTGCCTTTCACAACTGGATAAACTTTAATGTCATCACAATTAGTTGATATGAAGCTTTCCGCAGCTGTGTGATATATTAGCGCTAGCATGAATTTTGAGCATTTACTATTAATATCTTATTGGATTTTTCAAGGTCATAAATATTTTTAAAACTATGAAACATACAATAGAAAAAATTATTTACGTGTTACTTAAAATCAGGTGTTATTTAAGTATATTATTTTAATTTTAATCTTTCTTTCAAGTTCTTTTAACTCGAATAAATTCCATTTTAAAATAGTGGTAAATTCAGATATTATGCATAGTTGTGTAACCTTTAGTGAAATAGAAGAAAAATAGTATACAGGACTCATATAATATTTTTTGGCAAAACGCGTTTGCATAGATGCTTCATGTTCGTATTTTGGTAATTACAAACGAAATTATACAGATTACAAGATACTTTGTAACATAAAAACATAGTGGAAGATTGCCGATATCATAGTTCTTTAGTCAATCACGACAATTAGTTGTCTGAAAAATAATAAAACTGATATTCTGAGAAGTTACCGAACCTGCTTCGGACTCCCTTCCATCCATTATTATTACGATAGCTGAGCAGAAGACATATAAAAACCAGACGATTACAGCTCCGATTGACAAAAGGTATATTTCGCCGTAGTTGAACATAGATCCAAGTTGTTGCAACGTCTCGTCGATTTGAGTAAGTTTTCGGTAACACGCGTTCACTGTCTGAGAAAGTCAATTTGCACGGTACGTAATCTGAATGAGAGTGTGAAGCCTCTTTCTCAGAGACACAATTTATCAGTACACCGTTCGTACGTCAACATTTATATAAATATGAAAAAAAAATTGTTTAATGCACGAATCAATATGTTTGCTCGTACTTACTTTGGTGTAAAAATAACCAAGGGTCATCTTGTACGCAATGACGAAAGCATTAGAAAATATCAAGATCTGGTACGAAACCTGCTTTAGTTTCGGCGTATTAAACTGCCTGTAGTTGTATTTTATGTATACGGATATGCAGAAGACGCCGAACAGGAGCAGAAGAAGATAGATCAAGCTGAGCACGGTGCGTAGTTTTCCACGAGGATACTCGATAATGCGAAGTCCCATTAGATAGTTTACGATCACAAGTGGCGCTATCACGTTGAATAGGTGTTTTGGGGCTGTGAATAGTTTCATTTCGCCGAATTTTTTTTCTTCTCCGCATGTAAATTTATTCAGAGTTTCAATCTCTTACTGGTGCAACATTGAAATATTCGAAGTGAGAAACCAGTATGCATAATCGACCGATTAACAGCAACCTGAAGTTTAAGACAACTCATTAATCTCTCTTCCTCACTCTCTCTCTCTCTCTCTCTCTCTCTCTCTCTTTCTCTCTCTCAACGATGATTGCACAAAAAAAGAGTTTTATAATTCCTTTTTTTTCTTGAGGACGAAATTCCTTGTAAATTTTGGTATCGATTTTCAGAGTTTAAAGAATAATAAAGGGGGAGAAAGAGTTTCGGAAAAGTCCAGATAAAATCATTAATCTGGTAAGACATTAGCATACGACAGTCCACGTATTCGTTTCTTTTAATATTCAAACTAAATTAACACATACATACGATTGTTAGTATTGTGTGAAACACTGACTTTTAAAATGCACAGTAATCGACGATAATGTTGAGTCGGTCAGTAATTCGGAGCTCACTATTTTCACTGTTTCCACCCTTAGTTTGTCTTGTCACAGCCTATTGACTGTTTATGCTTCCGTGCACTACCAAGCAGGTGCTCATAAATGATTATTACACGGAGCGAACGCGTGTTGCATTCGAGCCATGGTTATTTGAGGTTTATATAGTCGAGAGGGTCTGCATGAGAAATGCTTGCGGATGAAAAAGTAATTCGTTGTACACATGCGCACGTTGTTCATGTAGTGGACTTAATGCGAGTATCGTCACTCACATAAAGGTGGAAATCCCTTTTCCGATAAGTTTCACAACGCATCTTGTATTCAGTAGAAAAATGCCCTGAGAATTATTAGAGAACAAATTTTCTTATTAGATACTTTATAAAACTTATTAAAAAAAATGTTTCAACTTTTCCATGACTGACTATACAAGGCATAGTTGCGCAGGAAGCTACCGGCCGGCTCAAAGATGGCCGAGTGATAATTAATTAATTATTAATTATAATTCCGTAGATGGATTAGTGTACGGGTTATCGCACATGTAATATTTTATTGCGCTAGATGATAAAGACGGTATTGGGGAGTGAGACGCAAATTATATCCTACTATCTACAAACGCATTTTAGATCGTTATTCTATCAAGTATGACCGTTACGTCGAGATAATCGAGAATGCCTCGCGGATCGACGCTGACGTTATTTAACTGAGTAAATCCTTAATGACTGGGGAATTATCACGGACAAATATATACGTAAGATTTATTATTTACATGCAAAGCAGTGACACACTCTATATGTTATTAAAATGCGCCATATACTGCTGCGCCATATACGTCTTTTCCATAAAGATAATTACGCTTTACGTAGGAAAATTTGCGCATCTTTGAAAGTTATTTAGTCAGGGCATAGTCGAGTTAATTTTTGTTTTAAAAGAGACGAACCAGGAGGATGTCAAAGGATCAATATATATTTCTAAGAAAAAAAGTAATGAGATAATTATTCTATCGTATTCTACATATGCGATACATCATATATGTTATCTGTCACCACTTAATATTTATCATGTGTTTTAACCTATTTTTTTAACGTTTTTAATCACAGTTCAACGTTCTGGTTTTGTTTTTTGAAAATTCTCCGGGACTCTTCGCGTTCTCAAATAATAAGTTCGACCGTCGAGATAACCGAAGACGCGGCATTTCTTTAATTAAATTAATATTTTATGACGAGAAAATTACCACTTCGGTGCAGAATGAATATACTCTATTAAAATGCGTTGTATGCTGCGACACATCTTTCTTATGAAGATAATTACGTCTGTATAAAAAATATCGCGTCACCTTGAAAATTATTCAGTCAGGAAATAGATGAGTACATTTTTCCTCTTTTTCCTCAAACGAGGCAGAGAGACGTCAGAATATCGATACGTATCTCGAGAAGAAAGTGATAAGTGAATTCTCAATAATTTATTTTTCATCGAGAATATGATATATCGTATCGCGACTATAACATGTGACCTATCACTAATTAAATATGCATCTATACAATATTATATTACGTGTTCTGTATAATATTGCATAATGTTGCCAAATTATTATTTGGAGATAAAACTGTGTACGATCATTATGGTCGACATCATTTTGAAAAGATAATAATCGCAGAATGCAAGCAAGTAAATAAAGAAAAAGTTAAATTATACATAATTAAGTAACTTAATTTTTAAATTAATTACAAATAAATTAAAATAATCATTAATTTTTTTATTAATGGTAATCCTTACAATCTGTCCCGTTAGGACATTCAGTCAAGTTTACGTTAATAATGAGATAAAATAAATAAATGTGAAATTTTAAGGTGTGTCCATTGGTACTACTCTAAGAGTAATGACTAGTTATGCAAGATCTTGCTAAGCCTTTTCTTTTCAATCGATGGAAAATTGTTCTTTCTTCTCTTAGAATCTTCGTCAGAGCGTTGGGGTGTGATTCTAATCGATCCTTGTATCTAAGGCAACACCACTTGATCTCTTCCTTGATCGTTGGGATATCTAAATAATATTTAATGAATAAACTTTATTCGACTGTAATCGTTTAATACACAGGAAGATGCCAAAACACAGTTATTTCCAAATATCTAAAATTCCTTAATGGCTCTTTGTCTTTCAAATGTTTTTCTTGACTCCAGAGAGTCGCTCATCTGTATCATGATAACCAGATAAGTCGTTACAGTTTTCAGACACTATGGAGTAAAAGAACACAAATCATCACTCGCACTTTTGCCTTGACTGTAATAAATAACATAGATTTTATGTGGGAATCTACGAACCGAGCCAAGAAGCTGGTAATTTAAGGAGATACCAAACGTGAAAAACTCCACCGGGCTCTGTGCTATCTGAATATTAAACTGTTGAATCTGAAAGAATTTGTCAATTAGACCGACGACTCGTAAATCCCGATTAACGGTGGTGAATCCTAAATTTCACAATTTCGCGAACAAACCTCTTCTCGTATATCGATATCCGGGCAACATCCGTAAATCTCTTGGATGATCGCGCTGGTCTTTTTTCCCTAAGCGAATAATGAATATCGTCAATCGAAACGATTACCTAAGCTCACAATTGTAAAATAGTGCGCGGGACGACTCACCTCGTTGGCCGCATGCTTGCAAACGATGCTTACGAGAACGATTTCTAGTACGTAATCGCTTGCTACTATTATCTGACCAGATATTTGATCTATTAGGCTGCCCTTTGTAGCTACTCGCCACTGATAGATATTGTTGTATAATTCATATAAAAATAGAGTGAAATAAATGATGCAGATTCCGATTTCCGAAGCGATCTGTACGCCAAAGCTGATGCACAGACTCTTTAGTACCCTACACAGTTCCAGATGCACCTGCCTGAGAAACGTTTAAGTAAGAAAAAAAGATGTGTGAACCGTGAATCTTGTTTTTAAATATTAAGCTGACAACACCTTGGCGAAACATTCTATATCGACTTTCGTCTTGCAAAAATGAAGAATCGGAAATATCTAAATTTTTTAAATTATGAAAATTAGATTTCTTTTATGCAATGTACATACATTTTTTTCACTTGTTTATTTTTCATACTCATTTATTTCTTTTTTTTCTACTTTAATATTGTACCATATAACTTATACTCACCTGATCGTTTGCAATAAGTGTATGTTTGTCTGGTATTGTGCGGCCGTAACTGATCTTTGGACTGAACTTGAATCTCTGAATTGGTTATTGGATTGATTCTGAAGTTCCATTTGCAATTGCTTTTGGAATTGGGACGACAGAGCAGACCGAGTCCTCGATCTAACGAGATTACGTTTTCTCAATATAGAAGTTCGTATTCGAGACTGCAGATTCAACTGAGATGACACCTCTGTAGAAAGAATGTTCTGGCTTTGCTCGCTATCCATGATTTTGGTATGATCCTCCGTAACAGAGATATCCAGAGATTTTTTCTTTTTCGCCGTCGACACGCTTTCTTTCAGAAGTTCATTAACTAATTTGAATCTCGTTTGCAGACATCTGCAAATACGATATAAAATTTATTAAAATTTATATTCTTAATTCACACGCTTTATATATTATTTATTTATGACATTTTATGTATATATATTTTTTACATTATTAATTTCCTTTTTTTATTTTTTAACGGAAGAAAATAACGTCAGTCCGCACTTCTCCTTTCATTATAAATGCACAGTGAATTAAAACCGATTGACAGCTCAAAACGCAATTACATAGAAAATTGTAAAACATCATTATATTTGTTAATTTAATTCTTAAATGCAATATTAATTTTCGTGTGTTATCTAATCAAGCGGTTTTAGAATAGAGAATAAATAAATAAAATGTAAAGAAAATATAGAACATAAGAAAAATAGAAATAGAAAAAATATAACATAGAATTGATTTCATCGGAACACTCACCTCACGAATATTGAAAATTCGAAAATTAGGACGAGACCGATGTTGAATGTATGCACGTCTGCTATAATTATCCATATCATGGTTGACACATCTGTCCATAGGGGCGATCGAGGGAAATTGGAATGAGAAGAAGGTTAGTAAAGCGTTTAGTTTATATACTTACTGAGAAAGAAGCAATATGAAAGGAATCATAAAATGTTGCTTTCAGTACCTAGGTATTGATCTTTAATTTTTATTAAAATCGGAAAAATATTATATTTAACATAAAGAAAAATATAATTTGGAAGTAGCCGAATAAATTTTTGTGAGTCTCGAAATTTTCTCTTAATACCTTAGTAGCACATTTTATTAGCGTTACATTAATCGCAACTTTTCGTTTATCAAAACTCCGTTTCAATAACCAACACGTTCGCACAAATATAGCGTATTCGTATTTTGATTATCATAAACAATACTATGCAGGTTATAGGACTTTACGTAATATAAAATTATAGAGGATTGAAGCATAGAGGAAAATAGTCGATATCATTGTTGTTTAATTAATTACAATTAGCGATTTAAAATGTATTAACACCGAAATTCTGGAAAGTTAACGTACCTGCCACAGACTTCCTCATCTCTACCGTTACTACGATAACTGAGCAGAGGATATACAGAAACCAGATTATTACAGCTCCGATTGACAAAAAGTACATTTCGCTGTAGTTAAACGTTGATCCAAGTTGTCGCAACGTTTCGTCGATTTTGGTGATTTTTTGATAACATGCGTTGATTGTCTGCGAAAGCCAATTTGCATGATAAATAATCTGAATGAAAACATGAAGCCTAGAGACACAATTTATTTTCAGCACACCGTTTGTGTGTCAGCACAAGTTCACAAAATTATAACAAAAAATTGTTTAAATATCCGATTCGATACGTATGATACGATTTGCATTCACCTTCGTGTAAAAATAACCAAGAACCATTTCGTACAGTGTGACGAAAGCACATATATATAATACGAACTCATACAAGATGTGCTCTAGCTTCAGTAGGGTCATTTGTTTGTAGAATTTATATTCCATATACATGGATACGCAGAAGATGCTGGATAGGAGCAGAAGGTAGATCAGGCTGAGAACGATGCGTAGTTTTCCACGAGGATACTTGAAAATCCGAAGTCCTGCTAGGTAGTTCATAGTCACAAGCGGCGCTACCGCGTCGGACAGGCATTCCGGAGCCGCAAATATTTTCATCTTTGAGAGTTTTATTTTCTTCTTTACATGAATTACACGATTAACATCATCGACAATTCCGACCAAAATTCAAATAGTTATCTTCTTTCTCGCGGGCTAGATTCCTTGTAAATTTTCGTATCGATTGCTCAACGTCTAGGGACAGAAAGAAAGGAAGAAAATTTCGGGGAAATTTGGATAAAATCATTAAATTGGTACGATAATAAATGTAAGTACACAAAATGTCTAATAAATATAAGTACACAATCTAATTAATGTAAGTTCACAATAATCCACGTACTTGTTTATTCTGATATTCCAATTAGCACGTATTCAAATTAACACGTGAAAAGGATTGGTAGTATTGAGCGAGACATTGTGTTTCATAAAGCCGTCCCGCACAGTAATCCACGTTGAATCAAACAACTATACGAAGCTCTACTATTTCTATTATTTCCACTCTTGTTATGCATTACCGGAGTCGATCGACGTTCTAACCTTCACTGCGCGGCCTGACTGGAGAATTACCACTTCAATGCAACATACATATATACATAGGATGTGTTACATATACAGCAATGACACATCCTGTACGCTATTAATGTGCGCCGCTTATATGATGTGTACGCTCTCACTTAACCTTTTCATAAGTAATTAAGCTTGCGTAGAGAATTTTGAGGCGACGGGATCGACGCAAAAGCAATTTTTTACTTTAGTTTATCAAATATCATGAATACGATTCCTATAATCAATTATATTCTTATTATTAATCGAGTCGGAAGAGACGTTAAATTCAAATACCTACTCTTGATTTTGGACAGTTCAATATTTACTTCGCAGTAAGACTCTTTCGGTTCCAATTCATGTATTTATTTTCTTTCCACCAACAGAAAAATTATTATTAGAATAATACACGGTAAGTGCACAAAATGCAGTTACTTATCAATGTCTACAGTTCTCTTTAATGTCTTAATAATCTCTAATAAAGCTTCCTGTCTTTCAACTGCTTTTACTTGACTCCAGCAAGATGGTCATCTGTATCATGATAACGAGATAAGTTGTCACAGTTGTCAGACACTGTGGGCAGTAAAAGCGCAAATTATCATTCACATATTGGCCCTGACTGTAACAAGTAATACGCATTTTAAGTACGAATCTACAAACCGAACTCAGAAGCTGATAATTTAAGGAGATGCCAAACGTGAAGAACTCCACCGGGTTCTGCACCGTTTGCAGACCAAATTGCTGAATCTGAAAGGGAATTTATCAATTAGAACGACGACTCATAACTCGCGATCAACGGTGACGATTATCATCACGAACCAACCTCTTCTCGTATATCGATATCCGGGCAGCACCTGTAAATCTCGTGGATGATCTCGTTAGTCTCCCTTCCCTGTACGAATAATAACTGTTGTCAATCAAGTCCTTAATCGGAAAATAACGTTCGGGACGGCTCACCTCGTTGGTCGCGTGCTTGCAAACACGATTTATGAGAACGATCTTCAGCAGCTGATAGAATATTACCACGATTGTGACAGTCGTTTGATCCAATGGATTGTGGTTTGTCGTTACCTGTCGTTGTTGGATCAACTTGGTGTATACAATATACAAACTTGCAGTGATGAACATGATAGACATTCCGATTTCCGATATTATCTGTACGCCAAAGCTGCTGCATACCGTCTTTAATACCCTGCACAGTTCCAAATGCACCTGTCTGAAAAACATCCAAGCGATAAAAAAATAATGTATAAAGAGTAAAACGTGTTTTTAAATATTACAAATAAAAAAAGCATAAATTGGAAATATCAAAAATTAGATTTTTTAGATAATATACCGTTTATTACATCTTCATTAATTTTTTTATTCTCGTTTATTTTTCCTTTTTTATCTTAATATTTTACCGTATAATTTATATTCACCGGATTGTTTGTAATAAATGTGTTCGTCTCCGACATTCTGCGATCATGATTGATCTTGGAACCGAATTTCTAAATTGGTTTCTGGATTGTTCCTGAGTTTCCACTTGGAACTGCTTCTGCAGTAGAGACGGCAGGCGAGACCGAGTCTGCGATCTAACGAGATTACGTTTTCGCGACATACGAAATCGTGGTCGATATTGTGACTGTTGATTTAGCCGAGATAACGTCTTCATGGAAAGAACGTTCTGACATTGTTCGTTGTTCGTGTTTTTAGTATGATCCTCCGTAGCAAAGAGATTCAGTTTCATTCTTTCTGTCATCGATACCGTTGCACTTTGGCTTAAGAGTTCATTAACTAATTTGAATCTTGTTTGTAGATACCTGCAATTAAAAAATTTCAAATCTATTTATATTTATATAATTAATTCATATTACATATTATACATTTTTTATTGATTATATATTGTAGAATATTATATAATATATTATTTATATATTATTTTCTAAAGGAAGAAAATAATGATAGTTCTTCTTTCTTTGCAAATGCAAAGTTAATTAAAATTTATCAACCAACAGCATGAGGCAATTATACAGAAAATTAGAAAACAGATTGATATTTTATCAATTTGTTCTCTAAACGGCAGTGGTATTAATTTTCGTATATTAACTAATTAAAGGTTTTTCGAACAGATAATAAAAAAATAGAATATGTATATAGAAAAAATAAACAATAGAAAAAATAGAGCATAGCATTTATTTTTTTGGCATATTTACCTCACGAATATCGAAAATTCAAAGGTGATAACGAAGCTAATGCTTATTGAATATGCTTGCGCCGTGATTAGGCAAATCATAGTTAGCGGATCTGTATACATCTGTGCCTGTATCGTTAGGATGGCTGAGAAGAGGACAAACAAGAAGCAGAAGATTGCAGCGCAGATTGAGAAAAAATATATTCCGCCGTAGTTGAACATTGATCCAAGTTGTCGCAACGTCTCGTCGATATAGGCGATTTTTCGGTAGCAAGCGTTGACTGTCTGCAAACGCCAATTTGCACGATAAGTAAGCTAAACGTGAGCGCCAAGCCTTTTCTTTCAGAAACACGATTTATCGGTACACCATTCATGCGTTTAAATGTATTTGACATTCACACATGTGTAAAAAAAAAAAACTGAGACTCGATTCGATACGTTCGCTCGCGCTCACCTTTGTGTAAAAGTAACCAAGAACCATCTCGTACATAACGACGGAGGAACTTATTTGGATTATTAACGCGTACAAGATGTATTCTAACTTCAACAGCTTAATCTGCTGATAGAAGCTGTGTTCCCCGTATGTAGACACGCAGAAGATGCCGAGGAGGAGCAGGAGATAAATCAGGCTGGGCACGGTGCGTAGTTTTCCACGGGGATACTCGAACTTGCGAAGCCCCACTAGGTAGTTAACAATCACAAGCGGTACCATCGCGTCGGACAAATATTTCGGAGCCGCGAGTAGTTTCATTTCGAAGTGGTTTCCTTTCTTCCTCGTACGATAGGGTTTTAATTTCTAATTGGCGCATTAAAATATTCAAAGTGAAAAACTAGCACGCATGATCGACCAGCAATCGAGCTCAGTCGCAAATAATAATTATCTTTTAAGATAACCCATTAACGATCATCGACGATTGCACAAAAAATTCAAATGATCCGCTTCTTTCTCGCGGGCAAAGTTCCTCGTAAATTTTCGTATCGTCCGCTCAGCGTCTAAGGACAAGGAGAGGAGGAGAGTTTTGAACAATTCAAATAAAATTATTAATTGGTGCGATGTAAGCACGTAACAATCCATGTACTTGTCTCTTCTGACTATTCAAATTAACACACACGATTGGCAGTATTGCCAGATATTAAGTTTCTCGAAGTCATCCTGCAGAGTAGTCGACGATGACGTTCGATCAGATAGCAATACGAAGCTCACTATTTTCACTGCAGCCCTCGTTTGTCTTATCGGAGCACGTCGACGTTCTATTCTTCGTCGCTTGGCCAAGGAGCGCGCGAGTGCTTATAAATGCTTACTTCAGAGAGCAAACGTGCATAGTAAATGAACTGTAATGTTCGATAGAATGCTATATCCTGTTGAGGGGTGAAGTAGTGAGGAAAGGAGTAATTCATTATACAAACGATGTAATTTCATAATGCGATTATAAGGTACACATTCAAGGCAAGGAGTGGTCGACTGGCTTAATGACGGTCGAGCGAAAATTAATGGCTGAACGGCTAACGGCTGAAATTATTTGACTGACAAATTGTTCGTTCGATTCTCAGACGCAAATTAAAAATGTGTCGAATATGATGATATGGTGATGAGAATTACGATAGAAATTATGATTTAAAAAATTGATATTAAATCGACGTTACATTTAAATTGCAAAAAATAAATAATAATGCGACGGTTTGCGCGATATGAGAAAATGATACATTAAATGACGATGATCTTGCAAAGTGCACGTGAAATTATAAAATAGGCTTCCTGTTTACAGCTAACTTCCGTGTATAGAAATACGAATAGGAATATACTTGGTATACCCAGGAGACTTTATCGGAGAAGATGGATATTGCAAATTGTCAAGTGTTGCTTATCTATCTATCTAGTTAACAACACTAAGAGGTTTAAAGATACATTATGATATTATTCTTGTAGTTATAAAAGAGAATACTTTAACACATACTAAGTCAGTATAGGAATTAGATTCGATTTTTTGTCTTCTTTGATCACTTATACAGATAGATTTATATATAGTTTTAGAAACGAAATTATTTCTGTAGATGAACTTTGCGGAAAACTTGTTTGAAATGTCGGATAACACTGTATACATTCAGTTATAACGCAACTTGACAGCAAGATTATTAAGTATGTTGTAGAGCTCTTGATTCGGAGAAGTTCGTTTCACCACAGATCTTGATAACTGCGCGAACATCGTAGCAATAAAGGCTAATGAATGCAAATATCAAGATGGAACAAAGAGCATATGTCATGCCGTAAGTGACACGTATTTTTTTCAGTACATACGCGTAAATTCGATCATATAATACTCTCAGATCCAACAGTTTCCGTTGCAGTTAATATCGTAATAAATAATTATAGGACTGAGTTCAAACTGCAATGAACAATTAACCTTGAAGACGTTAAAAAGTTGCATTAATTTGTTCGAAAAAGCGGATTAGATACCTCCCGTTGCGCGGAAATTCTTCTTTATTAGCCCCTCTTCGTCGCCATTTTATTTTGCGTGGCTTCTATTTTCACAAGGTATATCAAGCATACACACTTTTGGTATACATATACATGCATACATGTACATATTTTGTATACATACATATATATTTAGTATATACATGTATATTGATAATTAATTTATATACGAGAAGATTCCAAAATACAGTTTATCAGTATTTACAATTCTCCTGTCCCCCAATTATTTTTATTCGACTCTAGAGAGATGCTCATCTGTATCATGATAACCAGATAAGTCGTCACAACGTTCAGACTCTGCGGACAGTAAAAGCGCAAAGCACAAATCATCACTCGCATTTTTGCTTTGACTGTTACAAGTGACACATATTTCAAGTGCGAATCTACGAACCGAGCCAAGAAGCTGATAATTTAAGAACACGCCGTATGTAAAGAATTCCACCGGGCTTTGCGATATCTGAAGACCGAACTGCAGAATCTGAAAGAATTTGTCAATCAGTACGACGACTCGTAACTTGCGATCACCGGTAACGATTGCCATTATAAACAAACCTCTTCTCGTATATCGGTATCCGAGCAGCATCCGTAAATCTCGTGGATGATTTCGCTGGTCTTCTTTCCCTGTGTTAATGATGAATATCTCAATCAAAATTAATGAAACTCGTAATCTGAAAATAGCACGTGAAATGACTTACCTCGTTGGTCGCGTATTTGCAAACGTGATTTATGAGAATAATCTTCAGTGTCTCCAAGATTGTAAACGTGATTGCGACAGATGCTTCGTCCAACATGCTGAGACCTGTTGCTCCCTGTCGTCTTTGGAACCACAGGATGTACAAATTATACAAAAATCCAACGATGAACATGATGGAGGTTCCGATTTCCGAACTGATCTGTACACCAAAGCTGGTGCACAGCATCCTTAATACCTTGCACAGTTCCAGATGAACCTGCCTGAGAAATATTTAAGGAATTAAAAAATACTGTGTTAACCGTGTTTTCATATATTACGAAGGGAAAACATTAGTAGCTTCGATATCGGTTTTCGCTGTGTAAAAATTGAGAAAATAAGAAAGTGGCCCAATTAATAATTACAAAAATTAAATTTTTCGCAAAATGCTCCGTTTATTTTATTTTCCCCTTTTTTACTTTAATATTTTACCACATAATTTATACTCGCCTGATCGTTTGCAACGAGTGTGTACGTCTCCGACATTCCACGGTCGTGACCGATCTTTGGGCCGAATTTGAATCTCTGAATTGGTTACTGGATTGACCCTGAGGTTCCATTTGCAGGTGATTTTGAACTTGAGACCGTAGGCAAGATCGAGTCTGTGATCTAACGATATTACGTTCTCCCGACACAGAAGTTCGTACTCGAGACTGCAACCGATTTAACTGAAGCAACGTCTTCATCGGAAGAACGTTCTGGTGTTGTTTATCGCCTATGATTTTAGCATAATCGTTCGTAGCAAATAGATCCAGTTTCTTTCCTGGCGTTGTCGAGATCGCCGCGCATTCGCTCAGGAGTTCATTAATTAATTTAAATCTCGTTTGCAGGTATCTGCAATTACAATATCAAATTTAATTACACTAAGATACACTAAGATGCATTGAAAATGCTTTACCGAGAAGGATATGTAGGATTGGGCTGAAACTTAGTAAACAGAGAGAGAGAGAGAGAGAGAGAGAGAGGCAGGAAATTCAAGATCAAGTGATACCAATTAATTAGCAAAACAACCATAGCTTTATATAAGGTGACCCAAAATAGGACATGTGATTACGTACATTTGCCAATGCCCATCAATATATTTATATATAATTAATTTATATTATATATTGTAAATTTCCTTATTTACTATATATTATATATTATTTATATATTATTTTATACTTTATTTTAACAGAAAAACTTAATAATAAATGATTCCTTTTTTTTATAAATGTGCAGTGAACTAAAACTCACCGACCAACAACACGAGACAGTCACATAGAAAAATAAAAGACAATTTTTTATTCATCAATTTGATCTTTAAGTGCGACAGTAATATTGATTTTCGTGCAATAACTAAGCGATTTTAGAATAGAGAATAAATGGAAAGACTAGAGCATAGAATTGATTTAATTGGCACACTTACCTTACGAATATCGAGAATTCGAATATGAGGGAGAAGGTGATGTTTATTATATATATCTGCGTCACAATTATCCAAATCATAGTTGGCAGGTCTGTGCGCATATCTTGCGCCATCCAAATGGCTGTGAACAGGATGCACGTGAACCAGACAATTACAACGCCGATTGTCAACAGATATACCTCGCTGTAATTGAACACTGATCCGAGTTGTCGCAATGTCTCGTCAATTTGAGCAGCTTTTCTGTAGCAGGCGTTGATTGTCTGCGAAAGCCAATTTACACGATAAATAATAAACGGTGAGCGCGAAGTCTTTTCCCAGAGGCACATAATTGATCAATCATCTATGTGTTTAAACGTGTTTGATTTTCACAAAAATATGAAAAGAAAACTGTTTAGTACTCAATTAGATACGCTCACCTTTGTGTAAAAATAACCAAGAGCCATTTCGTACATAATGACGAAGGTATTCACAAAGATCGTGAACTCGAACAAGAAGTACTCTAGCTTCAGCAGTTTAATTTGCCTGTAGAAGTTATATTCCGCATATTCAGACTTGACGAAGATGCCGAGCAGGAGCAGAAGGTAAATCAGGCTGGGTGCGACGCGTAGTTTTCCACGAGGATACTCGAAAATGCGAAGTCCCGCTAGGTAGTTCAAGATCACAAGCGGTGCTACCGCATCGGACAGACATTTCGGAGCCTTGAATAGTTTCATCTCGTAGAGTTATCTTTTTTACCTTGCATAAAGACGCATTCAGAATTTTAGCCAGTGACTGACGTATTGAAATACTTAAAATGGAAAACTAGCAGGCGTGATCGACCAATCAACAGCAATCGAGCTCAGTCGCGAATAATAAGTTTTTCTTAAGACATCTCGTTAACATCATCGACGATTGCATATGAAATTCAAATAATCCTCTCCTTTCTCGCGGATAAAATTCCTCATAAATTTTCGTATCGATTGCTCAGCGTTTAAGGACACGAAGAGGGGGAAAGTTTCGGAAAATTCAGATCAAATCATTAATTGGCACGACGACGTGAACACACAATGACAGTTCACATATTTGTCATTTCTGGTATTCAAATTAAATTAACGCACACACATACACACGATTGTTAGTATTGTCAGGCACTGAGTTTCACGAAGCCGGCCCGCACAGTGGTCGACGTTAAATTAAATAGCAATACGGGACTACTCACTATATTCGCAGCACAATTTTAATTTGTCCTATCGGAGCACGTCGACGATTTATCCCTCGCCGCGCGGCCGAAGAACACGCGAATGCTTCCAAATGATTATGACAGGGAGTGAGCGCGTTTTGTAAACGAGCCGCGATGCTAATTTGAGGGCTATATCGACAGGATCAATTGGCTTTAGAGAAAAAGGGTAATTCGTTATAGAAGCGCGTGCGGCCGGTACTAATGCGAGCACAAGACACGTGTACAGCGTCTGCCGGCACAAAGAGCTAAAGGATAATTAAAGGGGTGGTACTAGGCTGCTAGAAGTGTATGCAGTTTTTTATCATGCCGGACGATAACGACGAAGGGGTGAAGCGTAAATTATAACCTACCACGTACACAGTATTGCATCGACATATCGAGTGGTATACCGGGTTGCCGCTACAAAAGCACGTATGAGAGAATGAGAATGCGCCGCGTGAACTCGGGTCGGTTGCACGCGCATACTCACTCTCTCGCAAGTGTCCTTGCAAGCCGACATACCGCTCAATATAATGATGCAACACCCTGTACATTCAGTTGTCACGCAAATCGATGGTAATGTTATAATTATTGAGCATGTAGTAGCGCTCTCGATTTCAAGAGGTTCGTACAATCCACATCATAGATCTTGATAACGGCGTGAACGTCGCAGCAATAAAGATTAATGAATGATAAGTATCAAGATAGAACGAAGAGTATATATTGTGCAAGTAGCGACACGTATTTTTTTTAGTACACACGCGTACATTCGATCGTGCAATACGCCCACATCCGACAGCTGCCGTTTCAGTTAATATCGTAATGAAAAATCAAACGGTTGAGCACAAGCCGCAAGGAATAATTAAGGATGTTGAAGGCGTTAAAATTTGTATTAATTTGTCCAGAAAATTGGGAATTAGGTGCATAGTTGCGTGGAAATTATTCCTTATTAACGCCGCTAAATCGCTATTTTATTTGACGCGGCTTATACTTTTATAAAATGATTCAAGACACGCACACGTTTGATATATATATACATTGATAATCATTTTATACACGAAAAGATCTTAAAATACTTATTAATTTATATATTAACGTCTACAATTTCTTAATGAATTTTAATCCCTCAACTTTTTAACTCGACTCTAGGGAGTTGCTCATCTGTATCATGATAACTAGATAAGTCGTCACAGTTTTCAGACACTGCGAACAGTAAGAGCGCAAAGCACAAATCAATATTTTTGTTGTGACCATAGCAAGTAACGCACATTTTATATGTGAATGTACGAACCGAGCCTAAAAACTGGAAATTTAAGAAGATCCCAAATATGAAGAATTCCACCGGACTCTGCGATATCTGAAGATCAAACTGTTGAATCTAAAAGAATTTCTCAATTAGGATGACAACTCGTAACTGACAATGAACGGGAACGATTATCATCGCGAACAAACCTCCTCTCGTATATCAGTATCCGGACAGCATCCGTAAATTTCATGAATCACCTCGGTGGTCTTCTTTCCCTGCATGAATGTTGAACATTATCAATCAAAACTATTATTAATGTCCGTAATCAGCGAGCAGAATGACTCACCTCGTTGGTCGCATGTTTGCAAACGAAATTAATGAGAACGATCTTCAGCACGTGAACGATGATTAACGTGATTATGGTAAACGCTTGGTCCAACAAGATATGGCCTGTCGTTCTCTGTCGTTGTTGGATGTACAATATATATAAAAGTCCAGTGATAAATATGATAGAAATTCCGATATCCAAAGTAATCTGTATACCAAAGCTGATGCACAGCGTCTTTAATATTCTGCACAGTTCCAAATGAACCTGCCTGAGAAACGACTAAGTGATAAAAAAAAAATAGTGTGTAATCCTTGTTTTTACGAATGGAACTTTAATGGCTTCTAGATTGATTTTCGTTTTGTAAAAATTAGGCGAGTAAAGGTGACAAAACTAATAATTACAAAAGAATGTTATTTCGCTATTTTACCCTCGCTTAACTTTTATATTAATCCATTTTTTTCCTTTTCTATTTTGTTTTTTGCCATATGATTTGTACTTACCTGATCGTTTGCAACAAGTATGTACGTTTCCGACATTTCTCGATTATGATTAATCTCTGAACCACAATTAAATCTCTGAATTGGTTTCTAGATACGCCCTGAAGTTTCATGTCGAAATGCTTTTGAATTTGAGACAGCAGGCGAGGCCAAGTCTGTGATTTAACGCAATTACGTTCTCCCGATTTAGAAGTTCGTATTCGAGACTGCAGTTGCCGATTTAAGTTAAACAACTTTATAGAAATAATATTCTGGCATTGTTTGCTGTTTGTTATTTTAGTGTAATCTTCCGCAGCGAAGAGATCACAGAAACCCAGTTTCATCCTTTCAGTTGTTGACATCGTTGCGCCTTCGCTCAGGAGTTCATTAACTAATTTGAACCTGGTTTGTATGCACCTGAAATTACAATATCAAATTTATTTACACCAAGGGGCATTGAAAATGCCCTACCAGAAGGACGTAACAGATTAGTCTGGAATTTTGTAAATAAAGGGACAGAAAGCTCAAGACCAAGTGATTTCAATTTTTTGGCAAAACAACCTTGGTTCTATATAGAACAATCCAAGTTAGGACATGTGATTATATTTTTTTTGAAAACAGAAGGAAAGTGTCGTGTAGCTTTGAGCCCAATTAGACAAGTCCTTTTCGAAGCACATTTTCAATGCCCATTAGTACATTTATATATAATTAATTCATATTATATAATTTTTTATTTATTATATCTTATATATTATTTATATATTATTTTACACTTTATTTTTTAACGGAGCAACATAATGATAATCCTTCCTTTTTCTTTGAAAATGCGCAGTGAACTAAAACTCATCGACCAACAGCACGAGACGATTACACGGAAAAATAAAAGACGACTTACTATTTATCAATTTGATCTCTAAGTGCGATAGTAATATTAATTTTCATGTAATAATTAACTAAGCGATTTTAAGACAGACAAAAAAGTAGAATACATGTCGGAAAATAAAATATAAGAAATATAATAATAGAAAGACTAGTGTATAGAATTGATTTATTTGGCCCCCCTACCTCACGAATATTGAGAATTCGAAGATGACGACGAAGCTGATGCTTATTACAAATATGTGCGACACAATTATCCAAATCAGAGTTGAAAGATCTGTATGTATTTGTGTCGACGTCAGTATGACTGAGGACAAAATATACAAAAACCAGGTGATTACAGCGCCGATGGACAAAAGGTATACTTCGCCATAGTTAATTATTGATCCAAGTCGTTCCAGCGTTTCATCAATTTGGGCGATTTTTCGGTAGCAGGCGTTGACTGCCTGCGAAAGCCAATTTACACGATAAGTAATTTGAACGTGAGTACGAAACCTTTTTCTCAGAGACACTATTTATAAGCACACCGTTCATGTATTTAAATCTGTTTTATTTTTGCACAAGTATGAAATAAATATCGTTCGGGATTCAATTCAATACGTTTACCTATGCTCACCTTTGTGTAAAAGTAACCAAGAACCATCTTGCACATAACGACGAAGGCACCCAGATAGAGTATGAACCTGTGCAGGACGAATTCTAACTTCAGCAGCTTAACCTTCTCCGTGAAGCTATATTGTGCGGGTAAAGACGTGCAGAAGATGCCGAGCAGCAGCAGGAGGTAGATCAGACTGGACATAGTGCGTAGCTTTCCACGGGGATACATGACAATGCGAAGTCCCATCAGGTAGTTGAGTGTCATAAGCGGCGCTACCGCGCCGGATAAATGCTTCGGAGGCGCAAATATTTTCATCTCGAAGAGTTACCTTTTCTTCCTCGCACAAAAACGCATTCAGGGTTTAATCACAGACTGACGCATTGAAATACTCAAAATCAAAAAGTAGCACGCATAATAGACCGATCAACAGCAACCGTGCTCAATCGTGAATAATAATTATTCCTTAAGACAAGTCGTTGACACCATCAACAACTTTCCGTTTCTGTGATATTCAAATTAAATTAACGCACACACACATACACACACATACATTTGTGCATAAAATTAGCAGTTTTGTCACGCATTAAATTTAACGAAGCCGTTCTACACAGTAGTGGAGGATGAATGAGGTTGAATTAGACAGCAATAAGAAACTTAGTGTTTTCACTGCATGCCTAGTTCGTTTTATCAATGCGCGTCGACGGTTTATCCTTCGCCGCGCGATCGAGGAGCGCGCGAATGCTTAAGAATGGTTATTACAAAGAGCGAATCAGCCTTATAAATGATGATGGTCGTTGGAAGGCCATATCGTATTGACATAGTCAAATGACTGCAGAGGAAAGAGGTAACTCGTTGTACAAATGCGCGCGCAGTTCGCCCGCTCGTCCTAATGCGAGAACAAGACACGTGTGCACAAGAAGCCATGAGCCATCTCAAAAACGGCCGAGCGATAATTAACGAGATGTCCATTATTGTATACGGCTATGGCATACGTAGCTTTTTATTGTGTCGGTCGACAAGGACGGGGAAGAAAAGCGTAAATTATATCCTACCACCTACAACCGCGTTTGAGATCGTCACGTCGAAATAACTGGAAATACCTTGCGGATCCACGCTGGCGTTGTTTAAATGAGTAAATCTTTAATGACTGATAAATTACTATCTCAGTACAAAATGTATGTATAAAATTAGAACGCCATATATTGCTACACAACTTTTCCATAAATGTATTATAATTACGCTGGCGTATGAAATTTCGCGTCACTTTGTAAGTTATTCATTCAGGGGATATCTGAATTGCTCCTTTCGTACATTTTTTCAAACGAACCAGAGAGATGTCAAAGAATCGTTCTTGTGAGAAATGTTCTTGTGACAATTACATGACCGATAAATCGTCCGTTCGATTCGTCCACGTAAATTGAAAATCTAAAGAATATTCTGATGATAAGAATTACGATAGAAACTGCCATGAAAAAAAAATTACATGAAATTGACATTAAATTATGAAGGACAAATAATGATACATACACGCGACGGTTTGCGTCTAATTTATTCGGAAAAGTGGGCTAGATACACCGTCCGACGGAAATTCTTCTTTATACATTTTTCTATGCCGCTATTTTACTTTGAATATCTATGTTAATAATATGTTCCGGGCTGTTTTAGGACACAGACACGTTTAATATATATGTACATTGATACATATACATACGCATTGATCATTGTTTTATACACGGAAAGATCGCAAAATATAGTTCCTTATCAATATTTAGAATTCCCCTTAGCGGTTTCTTGTACTTAACGGTTTCCTGTACTTCAACTATTTTTACTTGATTCCATAGAGATGCTCATCTGAACCATGATAACCATATAAGTCGTCACTGTTGTCAAACACTGCAGGCAGTAAAAGCACAAAACACAAATTATCGTTCATATTTTTGCATTGACCGTAACATGTAATACGAATATTAAATGAGAATCTACAAACCGAAGTCAGAAGCTGATAATTTAAGGAGAGGCCAAACGTGAAGAATTCCACCGGGTTCTGTGATATCTGTAGATCAAATTGCTGAATCTGAAAGAATTTGTCAATTATAACGACTATTCATAACCCGGGATGAACGGAGATTGTCATCGCGAACAAACCTCCTCTCGTATATCGGTATCCTGGCAGCATCCGTAAATCTGGCGGATGATCTCAATAATTTTCTTTCCCTGCATGTATGATGAATATTATCAAAACCATCACCAAAAACCTTAATCGGGAAACAGTGCGCGAGTTGACTCACCTCGTCGGCCGCGTGTTTGCAAACACCATTAATGAGAACGATCTTTAGTATGTAAAAGGTGGCTAAAATGATTGTTATATATGTGTAGTCGTACGGGCTTTGGTTTTGTCTTTGATACAACAAGTGAAGGTACAAATTATATAAAAGTCCAGTGATATTTATGACGGAAGTTCCGATTTCTGAAGTGACCTGTATGCCAAAACTGGTGCACAGCTTTCTTAATATCCTGCACAGTTCTAGATGAACCTGTCTGAGAAATGTCTAAGTGATAAGAAAATAACTTGTAAACAGTGTTATTGAATATTACGAACGTAAAATCCGCGGTTTCGAGATCGATTTTCCCTTTGTAAAAATTGAAAAAGCACAAATGATCAAATTAATAATGACAAAAATTGAGTTTTTTACAAAACCGTTTATTTCACCTTCGTATAATGTTTATTCTCGTTCGTTTTTCTTTTTTCAACTTCAATATTTTACCACATAATTTATATTCACCTGATCGTTTGCAACAAGTGGGAATGTCTCCGACATTCCGCAATAGTCCATCTTCGGGTAGAAATCGAATCTTTGAATTGGTTTCCAAATTGATTCTGAAATTTTATTTCCAAGTGCTTTTGAACTTGAGACAGCAGACAAGGCCAAGTCTGCGATCTAACGAGATTACGTTCTCCCGACTTAGAGGTTTGCACTCGAAACTGCAGTTGCCGATTTAACTTAGATAACACCTTTATAGAAATAATGTTCTGGCATTGTTCGTTGCCTGTTATTTTAGTGTAATCTTCCGCAATAAAGAGACCAGATAATTCCAGTTTCATCCTTTCATCTGTTGACATCGACCCGCCTTCGCTTAGGAGTTCATTAACTAATTTGAATCTGATTTGTATGCATCTGCAATTACAACATCAAATTTACTTACACTAAGGGACATTGAAAATATCCCACCCAGGAGGACGTATCGAGTTAAAACTTAATAGACGGACAAAAAGTTCAAGACTACGTGACCTTAGTTCATTGGCAAATCAACTAAGGGTCTACATAGGATGGCCTACCACAAGGCATATGGTTATGTACTTCTTAGGACAGGAGGAATGTGACCTGTAACTTTGGATCCTATTAAACATATCCTTCGGGGTAGTATATTTTCAATGACAGTGTATTTATATATAATTATTTCACAATATATTATACATTTTTTATTTAATATAATTTATATGACTAATATATATTATATATTATTTATGTATCATTTATTCTTTATTTTTTATAACAGGAAAACTTAATAAGAGTCTTTTTTTTTAGTAAATGCGCAGTGAAATAAAACTCAACGACCAATGGCACGAGACATTAATATAGAAAAATAAATGGGAAATTTGACTTATCAATTTAATCTTTAAATGTGATAATGGTATTAATTTTCGTGTAGTAACTAACTAAGCGATTCTGGAACAGAGAATAAAAAATAGAATATAAGTAGAAAAAACAAAACATGAAAATTTTGTAATGGAAAAACTAGAATATAGAATTGACTTTTTCTTTATACTTACCTCACGAATATCGAGAATTCGGAAGTGATGATAACGTTGATGCTCATTGAATATATTTGTGCTATAATCATCGAAATCGTAGTAAACAGATCTATGTGGACGTGTATTATCGTCAGTATGATTGAAAAGGATACGTATAAGAACAGGACGATTGAAGCTCCGATGGACAAAAGATATATTTCGCCATAGTTGATTATTGATCCAAGTCGAAGCAACGTCTCGTCGATTTGAGCGATTTTTCGGTAGCAGGCGTTGACTGCCTGCAAATGCCAATTTGTACTATAAGTAATCTGAATATGAGCACGAAGCCTCTCTCAGAAACACTATTTATTAGCACACCGTTCATGTGTTTAAACGTGTTGCATTTTCGCGCAAATATGAAAAAAATATTGTTCCGTATTCGATACGAAACGTTTGCTCGCGCTCACCTTTGTGTTAAAGTAACTAACGACCATCTCGTATGTAACGACGATGGCATTCAGATAGTGCATGAGCTTGAACAAGACATACTCTAACTTCATCAGATTAATCCGTTGGAAGAAAATATAATGCCCGTATATAGACGTGTAGAAGATGCCGAGCAATAGCAGGAAATAAATCGCACTGGGCATGGCGCGTAGTTTTCCACGAGGATACTCGAAAATTCGGAGTCCCATTAGGTAGTTTAGAGTCATAAGTGGCGCTACCGCATCGGACAGATATTTCGGAGTAGCAAATATCTTCATTTCGAAGAGCTTCCCTTTCTTTCTTGCACAAAAATGTATTCAAGATTTGATCTCCGACTATCGCGTTGGAATAGTCAAAGCCCAAAAGTAACACTCATGATCGATCGGTCAATAGCAACCGTGCTGTCCGAAATAATAATTATCTCTTAAAACAACTCGTTGATATCATCGACAATTGCACACAATATTCAAGTACTCCTCTTCTTTCTAGCGGACATGGTTTTTCGTAATTTTCGTGTCACTTGCTCAGCATTTAAGGACAGGAAGAAACGAGAAAATATCCATATAAAGTCACTATTTGTCACGACATAAACACACAATAATTCACATATTTATCTCTTTTGATGTTCAAGGTAATGCACACATACGTACACATTTACACATAAGATTAATAGTTTTATTAGGCATTATTTTTCACGAAACCATCTTGCACAGCAGTCGACGATGACGTTGAATTAGACAGCATACGGAGCTCACTATATTAACTATACTACTAGTTGGATTATCGGAATACGTCAACGGTTTGTCCTCCGCCGCGCAACAGAGAAGCGCACGAATGTTCATGAATGATTATTACAAGGAGCCAACGCGCGTTACAAACGAGCGATAGTCATTAGCGATAGTCATTAGATAGAAGGCCATCTTGTGTCGACCAAAACAAGTATCTTGAAGAGAAATGGAGTAAATCGGGTAATTCGTTGTACAAATGTGCGTGTGGTTCGTCCGGTCGTTCTAATGTGAATACGAGGCACGTGTGCGCAAAAAGGTGCCGGCTTCAAAATGGCGGAGAACTAATTAATGTGTCGACAATTACTGTATACAAGGCCATATTGCATAGGCAGTTCCTTATTATGGCGGATGATGAAGATGAGGGAGAAAGACGTAAATTGTATCGTACTACCTACAATCGCGTTTTGAGATAGTCAAAATATTAGATTGATCGATTAGAGAAATAGAAGGTAGTCGATTACGTCGAAATAATTAAAGGCGTATTGCAGATTGACACTGACATTGCTTAATTGAGAACATTTTAATATTTATAATGAAGTTGATTTATGCAGCAATACTAAGCTTACTGTTTGCACTGCATGCCTAGTTTGTTTTATCAGTGCACGACGACGGTCTATCCTTCACCGTACGATCGAGGAGCGCACGAATGCTTACAAATGATTATTACAAGGAGCGAATCAGCCTTTTAAACGATGGTGGAAGACCATATCATATTGATATAGTAAAGTGCTGCAGAGAAAAGGGATAACTCATTGTTCAAATGCGCGCGCAATTCGCCCGCTCGCCCTAATGCGAGTACATGTGAGACACGTGTGCACAAGAAGCCGTCTGCCGGCGCAAAATCGGCCGAGCGATAATTAACGAGATGTCCATTATTGTATGCGGCTATAGCATACGTAGTGTTTTATTGTGTCGGTTGACAAGGACGAGGAATAAAAACGTAAATTATATCCTACCACTTACAATTGCGTTTGAAATCGTCACGTCGAAATAACTGGAAATGCCTCGCGGATCCACGCTGGCGTTGTTTAAATGAGTAAACCTTGAATGATTGGTAAATTACTATCTCGGTGCAAAATTTATGTATAAAATTAAAACGCCATACGTTGCTACACAACTTTTCCATAAATATATTATAATTACGCTGGCGTATAAAATTTCGATTTACATTGTAAGTTATTCATACAGGGAATTTCTGAATTGCTTCTTTAGTACATTTTTTCAAACGAACCAGAGAGATGTCAGAAAATCGTTATTGTGAGAAATGTTCTTGTGGCATTACATGACCGATAAATCGTCCGTTGGATTCGTCCACATAAATTGAAAATCTAAAGAATATTCTGATGATAAGAATTACGATTAAAACTACTATAAAAAAAAAATTACACGAAATTGACGTTAAATTATAAAGGACAAATAACGATACACACACGCGACGGTTTGCGACTAATTTCTTCGGAAAAGTGGGTTAGATACACCATACGACGGAAATTCTTCTTTATACATATTTTTATGCCGTTTTTTATTTTGAATATTTCCCATATTAATAAGATGTTCCCGACTGTTTCAGGACACAGACACGTTTGGTACATATGTACATTGATACATATATATACGCATTGATCATTGTTTTATACACGGAAACATCTCAAAATATAGTTCCTTATCAATATCTATAATTCTCCTTAACGGTTTCCTGTACTTCAACTATTTTTACTTGACTCCAGAGAGATGCTCATCTGAATCATGATAACCATATAAGTCGTCACGGTTGTCAGACACTGCAGGCAGTAAAAGCGCAAAACCCAAATTATCGTTCATATATTTGCCTTGACCGTAACAAATAATACGAATTTTAAATGCAAATCTACAAACCGATGTCAGAAGCTGATAATTTAAGGTGAGGCCAAACGTGAAGAATTCCACCGGGCTTTGCGATATCTGTAAATCAAACTGCTGAATCTGAAAGTATTTGTCAATTATAACGACGTCTCGTAATTCGCGATGAACGGGGATTATCATTGCGAACAAACCTCCTCTCGTATATTGGTATCCTGGCAGCATCCGTAAATCTGGCGGATGATCTCAATAGTCTTCTTTCCCTGCGTGAATGATGAATATTATCAAAACGATCACCAATGACCGTAATTGGGAAACCGTGCTCGACTTACCTCGCTGGCCGCGTGTTTACAAACACCATTAATGAGGACAATTTTTAGTATGTGAAAGATAATTGAACTGACTAGGAAATGTACTTGGTCAAGCGGGTGTTTGCTTTGTCTTTGATAGAACAACTGAACGTACAAATGATATAAAAGTCCAGTGGTATATATGACGGAAGTACCGATTTCTATAGTGACCTGTATGCCAAAACTGGTGCACAGCGTTCTTAATATCCTGCACAGTTCTAGATGAATATGTCTGAGAAACGTCCAAGTGATAAGAAAATAACTTGTAAACAGTGCTATTGAATATTACAAAGGGAGAACCAGCGGCTTCGAGATTGATTTTCGCATTGTAAAAATTGATAAAGCATATATGATCAAATAAATAATGACAAACATTGTATTTCTTACAGAACCGTTAATTTTATCTGCGTTTAATTTTTATACTCGTTCGTTTTTCTTTTTTCTACGTCAATAATTTGCCACATAATTCATATTCACCTGATGGTTTGCAACAAGTGGGTATGTCTCCGACATTCCGCAATAGTGATCGATTTTCGGGTAGAAACTGAATCTTTGAATTGGTGTCCAAATTGATTCTGAAATTTTATTTTCATGTGCTTTTGAACTGGAGACAGTAAACAAGGCCAAGTCTTCGCTCTGACGAGATTACGTTCTCCCGGCTTAGAGGTCCGCATTCGAGAGTGTAGCTGCCGATTTAACTTAGGCAACACCTTTATAGAAATAATCTTCTGGCATTGTTTGTTGCCTGTTATTTTAGTGTAATCTTCCGCAGCAAAGAGACCAGAGAAACCCAATTTCATCTTTTCAACTGTTGACATTGTCCCCCCTTCGCTCAGAAGTTTATTAACTAATTTGAATCTGATTTGTATGCACCTGTAATTACAATATCAAATTTATTTACACTAAGGAATATTGAAAATGTCCCAGGAAGACGTATCGGGCTAAAACTTAATAGAGGGACAAAATGCTCAAGACTACATGATCTTAGTTTATAGGCAAAACAACTATGGATCTACATAGGATGGCCCATTGTAAGGCATATGGTTAAGTACCTCTTAGGACAGGAAGAATGTGACCTGTAACTTTGGATCCTATTAGACGTATCCTTCGGGGTAATACATTTTTAATGTCTATTAGTGTATTTGTATATAATTATTTCATATTATATTATATATTTTTTATTTACTGTATTATATACGCACAATATATATTATATATTATTTATATATTATTTAATTCTTTCCTTTTTATAACAGAAAAACTTAATGTCAGTCCTTTTTTTTGGCAAAAGTGCAGTGAATTAAAACTCAGCAAACAATGGCACGAGACAATTAAATAGAAAAAAAGGCAACTTTTATTTATCAATTTCACCTTCAAATTTGATAATGGTATTAATTTTCGTGTAATAACTAAATAAACCATTCTAGAACGGAAAATAAAAAATAAAACATAACCAGAAAAAACAAAATATGAAAATTTTAAAATGGAAAAAAGAGAGTACAGATTTGAATTATTTCTTGTACTTACCTCACGAATATCGAGAATTCGGAAATGATGATAACATTGATGCTTATTGAACATATCTGCGCTATAATCATCGAAATCATAGTTGACAGATCTGTGTGGACGTGTATTGTCGTAAATATGGTTGAGAATACGAAGAAAAACAAAACAATTCTAGCTCCGATAGTGAAAAGATATATTTCGCCATAGTTAATTATTGATCCAAGTCGTCGCAACGTCTCGTCGATTTGAGCGATTTTTCGGTAGCAGGCGTTGACTAACTGTAAACGACAATTTGCAATATAAGTAATCTGAGTATGAGCACGAAGCCTCTTTCTCAGAGACAATATTTATTAGCACATTATTCATGTGTTAACATATGTTTTCTTTTCGCGCAAATAAGAAAAATATATTGTCCCGGATTCGATACGATACGTTTGCTCACGCTCACCTTTGTGTTAAAGTAACTAACGACTATTTCGTACGTAATGACAGTGGCATTCATATAGTGCATAAGCTTGTACAAGATATACTCTAACTTTAGCAGGTTAATCTGTTGGAATAAAATATGTTGCCCGTATATACACGTGCAGAAAATGCTGAGCATTAGCAGGAAATAAATCGCACTGGGCATAACGCGTAGTTTTCTAGAAGGATACTCAAAAATTCGAAGTCCCATTAGATAGTTCAGAGTCACAAGTGGCGCTACCGCATCGGATAGATATTTCGGGGCCGCAAATATCTTCATCTCGAAAAGCTCTTTTTTCTTTCTTGCACAAAAACGCATTCAGGGTTTATTCACCGACTGGCGCGTTGAAATGGTCAGAGTCCAAAAATAACACGCATGGTCGAGCGAGCAACAGGAACCATGCTCTGTCCGAAAAAATAATTATCTTTTACAACAACTCTTTGAAATCATCGACAATTGCACACAAAATTCAAATACTACTTTTCTTTCTCGCGGACGGTTTTTCGTAATTTTTCATGTCACCTGCTCACCATTTGAGGACAGGAAGAAAAGAGAGTTTCGAAAATATCCATATAAAGTCACTATTTGTCACGACATAAACACACAATAATTCATATATTTATCTCTTCTGATGTTCAAATTAATGCACACAGACGTACACATTAACACACAAGATTGATAGTTTTATTAGGCATTAATATTCACGAAACCATCTTGCACAGCAGTCGACGATTACGTTAAATTAGACAGCATACGGAGCTCACTATATTAACTATACTTCTAGTTGGATTATCGGAATACGTCCACGGTCTGTCCGCCGCGCGATCGAGAAACGCGCGAATGTTCATATATAATTATTATAAAAAACATTATTACAAAGAGCGCACGCGCGTTATAAACGAGTGCTAGTTATTGGAAGGCCATATCGTGTCGTCAGAGTCAAGTATCTTAAAGAAAAATGGGGTAATTCGTTGTACAAAGGCGCGCGCGGTTCGTCCGATCGTCTTAATGTAAGTACGAGGCAAAACGTGGGCGCAAAAAGCCGCCGGCCGGCTTAATGATGGCGAAAAATAATTAATTGGTCGGCCATTACTATACGTGGCTATATGGCATATGCAATTTTTTATTGTGCCGGATGATGAAGGTGAGAGAGAAAGACATAAATGATATTGTACCACCTACACTCGCGTTTTGATATAGTCGGAATATTAGATAGATCGATTAGATAAATAGAAGATAGTTGATAACGTCGAAATAATTGAAGGCGTATCGCGGATTGACACTCACGTTATTTAATTAAGTAAAATTTTTATATTTATAATGACGTTGATTTAAACAGCAATACGAAGCTTACTGTTTGCACCGCATGCCTAATTTGTTTTATCAGTGCACGTCGACGGTCTATCCATCACCGCACGATCGAGGAGCGCACGAATGCTTACGAATTATTATTACAAAGAGCGAATAAGCCTTATAAACGATGATGGTCGTTGGAAGGCCATATCGTATTGACATAGTCAAGTGTCTGCAGAAAAAAGAAGTAACTCGTTGTACAAATGCGCGCGCAGTTCGCCCGCTCGTCCTAATGCGAGTGCAAGACACGTGTGCACAAGAAGCCATCAGGCATCTCAAAAACGGCCGAGCGATAATTAACGAGATGTCCATTATTGTATATGGCTATAGCATACGTAGTGTTTTATTGTGTCGGTTGACAAGGACGGAGAAGAAAAACGTAAATTATATCCTACCGACTACAATCGTGTTTGAAATCGTCACGTAGAATTAACTGGAAATGCCTCGCGAATCCACGCTGAAGTTTTTTAAATGAGTAAATCTTTAATCATTGATAAATTACTACCTCGGCACAAAATGTATGTATAAAATTAAAACTCCATACGTTGCTACACAACTTCACCATAAATGTATTATAATTACGCTGGCGTATAAAATTTCGATTTACATTGTAAGTTATTCATACAGGGAATTTCTGAATTGCTTCTTTAGTACATTTTTTCAAACGAACCAGAGAGATGTCAGAAAATCGTTATTGTGAGAAATGTTCTTGTGGCATTACATGACCGATAAATCGTCCGTTGGATTCGTCCACATAAATTGAAAATCTAAAGAATATAGTCTGATGATATGAATTACGATTGAAACTACTATAAAAAAAAAATTACACGAAATTGACGTTAAATTATAAAG